CAAATTGCATTAGTTCAGACACTTAGCGCATGTCTTCCTAAATGCTTCTTGCGGCCTATATTGTGCATACCTATTGCATTCATACACTTGTAGGTTACACAATTGTTTGAACTCAATGCTTCTTTATTTTATACTCTTGTTGAGATGTGGTGGTCCTGAACAAATAAATCAGTACGAGTTTGCATTAATGGCATTTAGTGATCTCCCTAGCATGCTTAGTTTTACATGTATGAGCATTAAGAGCGGATGCCGGCGTATACAAAAAGAAAGATTGAGAGGAACTGCAAACAAAATCGTTTCGTGTCGAGTTCTTTACGTTAACCTCAGGGCCTAAGCACATTCTAATGTGATATCTCTGTTTTTGTTCTTGTAATCTAAAGTGCTGTTTTTTTTCTTCACATTCGCTCTGAATTGTGAATGCTTCCTCTTGATAAAATCGTGCAACCTTTCGTGCGGAGTGCAGGCTCTTATCGCCCTTTCGAAGGTCGCTGGACGGCAGTGACATTACTTCCCTCTAGTGCGTAGTACGGCTCTTCACATGGCATACAAGCATCTGCTCAAAGACATCGTCGTGAGTGGTGCTAATTTAAAGTATTATGATCTTACGGCTCTCAACGATCCTAGATATGGTTTGTTTCGATCATAGTACTCACTGCCACTTTGTCTACCAATCATTTCAGATGAACTGCCGATTTCCATTCGATATTTGCTGGAAGCAGCAGTTCGTCACTGCGACGGCTTCCACGTCTCAGAATCTGATGTAGAGACAATTCTGAACTGGAGGCAAAGTCAAGAGGCTCATTCTGAAATTCCTTTCAAACCTGCTCGTGTAATCCTTCAAGATTTCACGTGAGTTTGTTATCAAATTTAGAACCTTCTGACTCAGACCACGTATATATGTTAGGACTTTATAGTGGTGTTCCGGCTATTGTTGATTTGGCGGCAATGAGGGATGCTGTGCAAAGTCTGGGTGCTGATCCGTCTCGTATCAATCCTGTTTGTCCAGTGGACCTCGTCATCGACCATTCTGTCCAAGTGGACCACTATGGAGAGTACGTGCATATAGCTTTTGTATCTTGTGAATCTGGTAAGCCCCGGCCAGACCGCGCCCAAAACTCAAAAACGCTCAAAAACGTTTAACAGCGCCCAAATTTTTCTAGTCTCTCTTCACTTTCTCTTGTAAAGGGAGATGAGAGAAAGTGAAGAGTGGTTAGTTTTTTTCGGGCGTTTCTGGGTGCTTTTGAGCGCTTTCGAGCGAAGTCTAGCCAGTATCGTAGGGAGCCCAACCTATCAAAACATAATGCTTAACGAAATAGGGCTCCACTACGGCTGAGGAACAAAGACAGCTGTTGGCTGTTGATAATTTACGTCGATATTTAGTATTTGATATTCTGTATGGAAAGTAGTATGCATATAACATTGAATTCCAGCAAGAATGCCCTCGAAAAGAACCAACAAATTGAGTTCGAAAGGAATAAAGAACGCTTCAACTTTTTGAAAGTAAGTTTATCATTCATGGCATCTGTGTGCATATGCCTTTACAAAATCATAGCGTCTGCACTGAGGTTTTT